TATAATGAATATGTCAACGAAACGATGTATTATGGTGGATTGGGTACCTAAGCTCATATATTATTATATATAAAAGCCCTTTTATTCTTCTACCAGCAAAATCAAATTTACAGGCTTTACTGGACGCCACATCAACTGCGTTGTGAAACGATGCCTTTGACACCAACGTCGATTCACAATGGCTCGTGTTCTACTCTATCGTATCCGGTTCACCGTTTCATTGCCAATCGTTACCACCGATGTTCCCCAATGAACTATGAAATTTCTTCAAGAGATAATTCTCTAATTCGCCTCCAGACGACCTCCCTTTCTCATCTCATATCAGGGCAACATCAATTTTATGTGTGTCTTCAATTTCCTAACCAATAATCATTCTTGCTTCTCTTACATTATACCACGAAAAGCTTTACCCTAATCCTTGCAATTGGCACAAAATGTTTCTGAATGATTACGATATTTGTCACGGTGATAAACACCTTTCATCATGTCGCTGGAAATTCTTCACACAATCGCTTCAACTCTCTCTTCAATAAAGGTCCATAATACGTGAGAATTGATTACTCCCTTTCTGCGACTTTACTTATGTTGCCCAATAGATAACCGCTTCTCTTCTCTCATTCTTTGTTGTTCTGTTTTCGTTTTGATTATCATGAATAATTTCTCTCTAATCCCTTTCTCCTCCCACTCTCTAACCCTAACACCGATCACCACTTATCGCATCACGATCCTCGGCACAGGTTGGATTCAACTTTGTTTTTAGTTTATTTCATTATAGGGCTTTGAATAAATTGGGTTCTTTTTCCTCGGATCTTATTTTTCCACGATTCTTGAATTATTAATCTACGTTTGATTTAGTATTTATATGTATTTTTGAGGTAATTAGAAATGATGTTTGGTTGTTAGATGTTCTATACCTTCATAAAAGCATAACATCTTAAACAATTACTAAATCAAACAATACTGAAGCAATAATGAGATGTAATTACTAATTTTTGTTGGAGTATGTTAACGAGATGCAATTACTAAATCAAAGAAAATTGAAGCAATAAATAAGAACATTATAAATTTCATTTTATCCACATCTTGGGTGGATATTCAGGGTCAAGGGGCAACTGATGTTTCAATAATTGCATTTAATGTACAAATTTCGTTTGCAAAACTTTCATTTCCATCATTGAAAGTTAATGAAAATTATGAAGATTCCATGATATACTAATGTTTCTGTTTCATATAGTCTTAATTTAGTTCCAATGTCACATTGATGTAGTTTGTTTCGGTTGGATGCTTCTGCGACTTCATATGCTAAGATTATACATGAGTTCTCTCCCACATTAGCTTTCCTCCATAAGAAAGGTGTTTTTCTGCTCATGTTCTAAAGTAATTCTTGAATACACATTAACTTTCCTCCATATGAAAGTTAATTCTTGATTATCATTTAGGGTTTACAATAATGTTAATGGATGATTTCGTTGTATTATCTAAAAATCTATTGTCCTCAAATTTTTGGGCTTTCTTTTTTCCTTCAGGATAATTTCAACTGTCACTTTGATTTCTAAAATTACCCAATTTTTTGTGATTCCATTTATTAGCGTCATATATGGTTCTCAATTGAGGGATATCACTAGATCCCACTTTTTTTTTGATAATTTCAACCGTGTGGACAGGATGTGTTGAATACCATTTTGCACACTTCCCTGAATTTTTAATCATTGACAGTGAACGAGGGAGACTAGATGAAAGTGAACATTTTTTTGTTGACAGAACATTTGAAACAAGGGTAGGTGGCTACTGAAGATCCTACTATGAAGAGGCTTCCAGAGATGGAGAGTGTTGTGAGGAAAGCTAATGGGAAATTAAACAGAGCAAAACCGTTGTTAGATGTCTTTAAACATAGAATGCTCAAATAAGAACAAAATTGGAGGCTACAAAGTTATAAATGATTTAGAGTTCATTAATATATGTTTGAAATTAAGTTGTGATTTCTATGGAATTTCTTAGTATCCAATAACTTAGCAATACATGTTATTAGAAGTATATGTTAGTTATTGAATTTGATTATATGTTTCTTTTTTGGCTTTGAACATTAGATGTTATTTAACTAGACCATCACTTTGTGACACTAGCAATTATAAAACATTATGATCATTTATTAACGATATTGGTTAGTTTTTATTGCATTAAATCCTAATTTGTTTGTTTATTACAACATAAATTACTTTATGCATGACATGGGCCTATTTTTGGTCATGTAATACTTATTTTCGTCTATTAGTTGATCTATTGTCATATTCTTTTTGCATAATATCACACATTCCATTATTATATTCATTATGAATCAGTACGTGATTGATATGCCTGCAAAGATACATACTTTTTTACGAATTATGTTGAATGCCAAATAAATAAATAAATAAATAAATAAAAATTAAATTGATCATTTGATATTTCTCAGCAATATACTAAACATAGTAAATTACAAGGAATAACATACTTCACTTTTTATATTACTATTGGCATTGTACATTATTTTTTTCATGTAATAGCATTGAACTTATAATTTAACCCCAATATAACAATGTACTTACAATTGATTACCAATCATAATAATGCTCTTGTGATTAAAAGAATATGCTTTCATTTTCATATCTAAATCAAGCATTTTATGTTGAAAATCCACCTAGCTAATATACATTATACAACGCTGAAAAAATTACCCAAATTACTTTTTGTGGGTCGTGCTTAGCACGGGCTTTAAACTTTTCTAGTATATATATATATATATATATATATATATATATATATATATATATATATATATATATATATATATATATATATATATTGAAAGAAAATAATTTTTAATTTACGTGCTACCGTTACTGTGCCTGATGTGCTATCCTACGTAGCTATGCTTCAGCTTAAGACACAAATAATGGTATATTATTTTGCAATGATGATGGCCAACTTTACCTTATGCATATGTGCTCCTTTTTTGGTGAATTAGTGAATTTGTGCTTTCACTTTGGTTTTTATTATTTTTTTTGTTATCCAACTAATTGGTATGAGTTTTATACTTTCTGCGCTCCTTTACTTTATCAACATAAAGTATTTTACATGGCATAGGTCACCCAAGCGCCATATACCAGATTAGAACACAATATATCACACAGTAATTAGATAAATACCATAAAATTCAAAGGCTACGTATGGATTTAACAATAAAGATTTACCTCACTATGTTTAACGTAATTGACAACATACAAAACTACTAGAGTTTTTCCGATTTTATTTGAGTTTAAGAAGTTCATCTTTAGGTATTACGTGGAAATTGTTTTAATGAATTTCCATTATAATGGAAAAAAAGAGATAACAACATATCAAATTGCTTAACTCTTCTCCTTAAAGGAAATTCAAAAATGGTAGAGCCACACTATAATTAAAGATCCACCCCAAGAAAGAAAGCCATTTATCCGTGCCCCTTGGTTTGATTTCAAATCGCCTATATATTTTCCATATATAATTGAGTTAAGAAAAGAGGTTTTCTAATATGTGCTTTAATGTACACATAACAAGCATTAATTGATGATATATATTATCAAAATTAATTATAAAATACATTAATAATAAGGAATATTATCATAATTAAATGTGAAGTGCATTAATAATTTTCATAATAAACGTATTTCGAATTTAATTATGGTAATATTTTTCATAAATAATACTTTTTATGTGTATTCTTAGGACACATATTAGAAAATCCCTTAAGAAAATCCTAACAGACGAATTAAAACTTTTCTCAATATCCACTTTGAAAAATGAGTGTGTTATGTGTTTTTAGTGTAAATAAAAACGGTTAACAATAGGAAGGCTATCAACAATACGTACATTTTCCATTAATATTTCACCTATGAAGCTATGAATATTTTTATACTCATATTTCCCTAATCACGTCGCGTGTTATTTTATGGTGTTACCATTTCAAGAGTCACGTGAGAGATCAAGGCTACAATCAAAAAAGTTTTCCTACTAAGTTAATGTCTGGTAAATAATGAGAGAATAGTTCCGTAAAGAAACTTATTAACTTTACTTAGGTATTTCATATATGGAAAAAAGCCTACCTTACCAGTTACCATCTCCTACTTTGTAATTAAAAACACATGACTAAATTTTAACAACAAGTATTAAAAGAATTTCAACTGAAATGGGCAAGGATATCTGTACTAAAAGAGCAGTATGTTTCTTATTTATTATGTCATTGATTGCAGGGATTAATGCCGCTGTTGTCAATGTAAAAACCAAAGGTGCCAAGGCCGATGGCAAAACCGATGATGGACAGGTAATATGATGCATTCGTATATTTGCATGTGTTTCTTATTATTGTTTTTCATGTTTTCTGCTACATGTATATGGGTTTCTAAACGTTGAAGTTATATTATTGGTGTATATTTGTTTGTGAGTTGAAATTAGGTGATATTGAATGCTTGGAAAGAAGCATGTGGAGGACCACCACCAAGCTCGGTGTTGATTCCACCAGGGACTTATTTGGTATTTCCGATTCTAATGGGTGGTCCATGCAAGGGTCCGATCGAGATAAAGGCAACTGGAGCCACCCTAAAGGCCCCACCCGAGCTAAAAATATTTAAAACTGTCAATACTTGGATCACTTTCTTGAATATTGATAGGTTGTCCATAAATGGTGGAACTTTTGATGGCCAAGGCCACGACTCATGGAGGAATAAAGAATGTCCCCGTTGCCAAAGACCAGTCGTAAGTGTTCTATTTAACCTTGTTGATTTCGGTGTTAATTAATTAATAAGCATGCGAACCTTTCACCTTTCCTTTCGCAGAATATCGGATTCTCTAGTGTCAGGAACTCATTGATAAAAAACATAACATCTGTCAGTAGCAAATACTTCCACCTTGCGATAGGGGATTCGCGTAACATCAGAATAGAAAACATAACCATTCATGCACCTGAAAACAGTAGGAACACCGATGGAATTCACATTGGAAGGATAAATGACGTCAATATCACGAATTCAATCATAAAGACTGGTGATGATTGCATATCTTTTGGAGATGGAAGCAAGAACATCCGTGTGGAGAACGTGACATGCGGACCCGGACATGGCATCAGTGTAGGAAGCTTAGGCAAATACCCAAACGAAGCACCTGTAAAAGGAATCTGGATCAAAAACTGCACTCTCACTGGCACACAGAATGGAGTGAGGATCAAGAGTTGGCCTGATTCTACCTCAACAACTGTTAGTGACATTCATTTCGAAGATATTGTCATGGAAAGAGTGGGAAATCCGATAATAATCGATCAAGAATATTGCCCTGGTCATACTTGCAAGGTGTCAAACATATATTAACACCATGCACATTAGTATTATTCGTCTAAAGATTTGAATTTAATATTCTTTAAACAACTACTAGAAAGGAGGTCCATCGTCGAGAGTGAAGATATCGAATGTGAGCTTTAGGAAGATCAGGGGGACATCTACAACGAAGGTGGCATTGAAGCTTGCTTGTAGTGCAGGTTTCCCATGCGAAAACATCGAGCTGGCTGATATCAACTTGACATATCAAGGACCTGGAGGAGGACCTGTCACCTCTAAGTGTGATAATGTCAAGCCGAACGTCGTTGGACAGGTCGTCCCTGCGGCGTGTTCAGGTGGACCAGTTCATCCGCGAATATGATCTTGGAAAGCAATTAGTCATGGATATAATATTTTTTTTAAGTGGTGAACGAATTCTTCATCATAGAAACATATTCCCCCATGCCATGTAATAGTCTAAGTCATCAACATTTATTGACATGTACTTTTAAATTTCTATAATATACTTAGGTTAACTAGAATTCTTTTTAGTTCAAACAAATCTTTTTAATTTGGAAAAACGGGTTGATTTGAAAAAAAAAAAAAAAAATAATAATAAAATTAAAAAAAAAAAAAAAAAAACTTGGTAAGATGTGTCCCACAAAGGCCAAAACTATATCTTAATGGGCTATATGAAACTTTGGTCAATTGTGCCCTAAAAAAAGAAGCTTTTCATTTTAATTTTTTTTTTCTCTTTCTACTTCATCGATCATCATCTTTTTTTTTTTTTTTTGAAATCGTATGTGCTGAAAAATACTCTCAAATTATGTGGATTTCTTGCTTGAAAAGAATATGAGGACTCATTTGTGAAATATATAATATGATTTTTATTATGAAGTTGGAACAAACACGGTTGTGTATCATTTGTAGATGAATGGTGATAAGTTGTCTTTGTAAATTTTTAACAAAAAAAAAATCTACATCTCTATGTTTTATTTTAGTTGTAGAACTTTTTATTATCAGTAATCTTGATTTGCATAAAATAGAAGATACATGTTGAATTTTTTATTGTTGTGTAATTTGATTTATATGAGAATTTGTATACTTTTATAATTATTCAACAACTTTTGTATACTTTTATAATTATTCAACACCTTTATTAATAATAGTATAGAATAATATGATAATATAGTTATTTTTCATTATTTAGAATCAGTCAAATGTACAATAAAACAACATGGTTTATTTTCTAGTAAAAAAGTTTCCCAAACAACAACGATCAAACCAAACTTAATTACCAATGGATTATATCAACTTTAACGTAAACATTGATGAAGATCTTTAATCATCTAAAATATATATAATAATAAGCATTGAAATATATCAAAATTTTTAAAGATATTAAGATTTCAAAACTAAATTTTAAATTACTTACTTATATAATAGACAATAAGTTAGAGATACAAGACCTAAAATGCAATAGTTTATAGAGAAAATGATAAATAAATTTATAAATATATAAATAGCATATAAGATAAGACAAATTATTATTTCCTTGACTTTAAATATGATTCTTCTTGTTTTTATTGATTGCGTGTTATATTTAAATTTTCTATTTACACTATAAGAATATTAACATTTGCGACATTACCTTTACTGACAACAACCCCATTAGTGGTGGCATGTAACTCCGCCTCTACATGTTCATGTAGCTGCTAATGGTGGTTTCATGTGGCAATCCTTGTGAACATTCAACTGAAGACCCTAGCTGTTGAATAGATCCATCAATCCAACGGCTAGTATCCTGTCTGGTATGTTGGTATTTTGTTAAATAGTTACGGGTTTAATTGATTTATTATGAATTTGATAGTTTGATAGTTTGTTAAATTGTTGACGACTTATAAACAGATTTATTATGGATTTGGTACTTTGATAATTTCTTAAATTGGTTGACTTAATTATAAGTACTAATTTTGTTTCTTTGTTTTTATTTTAACTTATATACATACTATGTAGGCGGATGCTAATGCTTATCTCACAACACGAATATAGGTTTTTAACTTATATACATACTATGTGGGCCTCGTCCATCAGAACCTATCGTACTCCGCCCCAGTACGGAACCCAGACCCTTCCAAGCAGGGTTAGTAACCTACGACTATCATAATCAAATGAGGCCACTCGACCTACAATCTACTCGCACTTTTGGCACTCCTCCTTTAGGCCCTCTACATGTGTCTTTCTGATCTTCTCTAACAATTGAGTAATCACTGACATCCTTAGGGAGATGTCTCTCATTGGGGCTGCTACCGCCTTGCGGCTCAGGGCATCGGCCACCATATTGGTCTTGCCCGGGTGGTAAAGGATCTCACAGTCGAAGTCCTTCACCACATCTAACCACCGACGCTGCCTCATGTTCAGATTCGGCTGATCCATGAGGTATCACAAACTCTTGTGGTCCGTCTAAATGGTACACTGGACCCCATAGAGGTAATTCCACCAAATCTTAAAGGCGAACACCACATCCCCTAACTCTAAGTCGTGTGTCAGATAGTTATCCTCATGAGGCATCAACTGCCTCGATGCATAACCTATCACGTGACCCCGTTGCATCAATACTACTCACATGCCTGTGATCGAAGTGTCACAGTAAACTACGGAGCCATCAAATCCCTCTTGCAAAGACAAAATCGGTGTCTTGCATAACCGCTGTCTGAGGGTCTCGAAGGCTGCTTGCTGCTCGAACCCCCATCAGAATGTCACCGACTTCATGGTCTGTCGGGTCAGGGGAACAGTGATCTTGGAGAAATCCTGGATAAATCTTCGGTAATAACCTGCTAAGCCAGGAAAACTCCAATTCTCAGTTGGAGACCTTAGAACCTCCCACTGCATCACGACAACTATCTTGGCCGGATCAACCAGAATACCCTTTTGGTTGACAAGGTGCCCCAGAAACTGCACCTCGTGCAACCATAACTCACACTTGGAGAACTTTGTGAAAAGTCTCTCCCTCCTTAGCATCTCCAGCACCTCCCTCAGGTGCTCATCATGCTGCTCCTGAGTCTTAGAGTAAGCCAAGATGTCATATATGAAGACTATCACAGACCAATCATGCATTGGTCTGCACACGTGGTTCATGAGGTCCATGAACACGGTTGGATAATTGGTGAGCCCAAAAGACATCACCACAAACTCATCGTGACCATGACGAGTCCAAAAAACTGTCTTCTGCATATCCTCATCCCTGATTCGCATATGGTGATAACCCAATCACAGATCAATCTTGGAGAACCAAGATGCACACTATAGCTAGTGAAACAAATCGTCAATCCTCGGAAGGGGATAACGGTTCTTCATCGTCACCTTATTCAGCTCCTGGTAGTCTATATACATGCGATTTGACCCGCCCTTCTTCTTCATAAACAGGATCGAGGCTCCCCATGGCGAACTGCTCAGCCTGATAAATCGCTTGTCTAGCTGCTCTTGCAGCTGTGTAGACAACTCTTGCATATCGGGAGGAGCCAACTGATATGGTGCCTTGGCTATTAGATCCGCACCAGAGACTAGGTCAATCCTTTGGGAATACATTCGCATACTCCCGCACTACCTATACATCATCGACTGTCACGTTACCCTTATCTCGGGTATCCATGACATAGGTGACATAACCCGCACAACCCTACTGAGGTAGTGCCTCGCTCTCGCTACTGAGCATAGAGTTATTCCACCCTGCGGCCTCTCACCCTAAATCACCAACCCTCCCCCACTAGGAGTCCGAACCCTCACTAGCTGCTGCTAGCAGTCGATCACTACCCCATTGTGGCTCAATCCATCCATGCCAACTATAACCTTATTCCCTCGCATCAGAATAGGGACTAGATCCACAAAAAACTGTTCATCAAATAATTGCAGTGTACATCCTCGGTGAACTCTCGCAACCCTGACGGTCCTATCGTCTGCTATCTCTACATTAAGTTGGCAATCCAACTCCACAGGAGCCCCTGTGAATCGTTTGATGAGCGTGAGCGACACAAAAGATTGTGGGGCACCCGAATCAAACAGTACCAAGGCTAATATACCGTTAACTAATAATGATCGTATAACAAAACACATAAACATAAACAATAATTACTATAAATAAAGAGATAAGGAGAAGATACATACCCGTCACCACGTCAGGAGCTGCTCATGCCTCCTATGATGTCAACTGAAAAGCCCTGCTCTTTAGGTTCCAGAGTTCGTGCTAGGTTTTCAAACCTAGAAGTATAGGAAGCACTATCGGAACCCTTCATCTTTAGGTTCCAGAGTTCGTGCTGCAGTTTCTGCATTTCACCCCGTGGGCAATACTCAGCAAGCATGAGCTCTTTCAAGCTCTCCCAACCCATACCATTTGCTACTGGTAGGGTTAGGGATTTTACCCGACTATTCCACCAGGTCAATGCTCTGTTGGTGAAAGTGCAAGCGGTGAATTTCACCTTGTTGGCTTCCAAATAGGAACAGATTTCGAAGATAGACTAGATCTTCTCGAACCATCGAGTCAAGGCAATAACACCTCCAGTGCCGTCGAAAGATGTGGGTTTTGCATTCATGAAGTCTTTATAGGAGCACTCCTTCTGATGCCCTTGACTCCCTTCATGATTTTGGGAATGAATACCACTCCCGGAACCACAATAACCACCACGATTTATTTGTGACAAAGCAGTAGTCACGGCGGCAGTAGCAGCTGCCTGGAACATAGCGGGATCGAATGCGGGAGGTGGTGGTGGTGTTGGATCCGTCGAATAATTGTTGTTCTTTTTGTTGGGTCTTTTCTTTGGAGCCATCTTGTTTTATACCAGGAAGAAGAAGATGATAAGTCCCTTTGACTTTAGAACCAAGAGATATGAAATAGGATATATCTCTATATGATAGATAAAGTGTTCTACTAAGCGATAAACATGAAGGAGTTACTAAAACCAATATACTATCGCTAGGAAAGAATGAATAGCAACACTTGGAATGAAATTCTACAATGTATTCTTCTTTGACTAAAATACTCCTATAGTATTTTATGTTGAATGTTTTGTTCTATCGATATTTTGTGGTAGGAATACTTGGTAAGTTTTAGGGTTGCTGCAACACCATAGTCACTCTCGAGCACATGTTGGTAATTTCTTGAATGAATATAGTTGATCAGGTTATATTGACCCTAGACATAATTACATAACTACCCACGTTTAACCGTAGTGTCCAACATCCCATTACTTTTGTTTGGTTCTTTACGGTATGGTTTCTGGTATGTAAGTATAGTTGTATACTTCTTATGAAAATACTTATATTTTAAAAATCATACTTTTAGTTCAGAGCACTTCGGTCCCTTAGTGTTTATAGTTGTATATCATGTTAGGTTCGGTATACTTAGTTCACTATAAACAATAGCTCTGATACCAATCTGTCACACCCCTGAACCGTCAGAAAAACAACGGCGGAAACGTCCGGGGGCGGGTGACGTCATACGTAGTATCACAACAATCGTATCATAGCAATCAAAGTGAACAA